CCCCGGACACACAAGCACGCGGTTTGATTGGCTAGAGCTTGTACTGGCATATGATTCGATTGGCTGACGCTTCTGTCGAAGATTCAAAAGTAGAACATTGCTCTACTTTTGAAGCGAGCAACACGAGCAAAGCGAAGCGTTGCTCCCACAATGCAGTTCGGCAAAGTGTGACGTCACCCCATTCAAAGTGAATGGGCAGAAGCGTTGAAGCAATATTCAACTTTTGAAGCCTCGATGGAAGCGTCAGCCTACCAAATCAGATGCCGGGCGGGAGATTCATGTGATTGGTTGTTGGTCGAGCTTCAGACACGCCCGCCGGCAAGCTTCAACGCACGCCGCCATGTGAACGCTGCGTTACCTTGCATTGCAAAAGAGACATCTTTAAATCAGTGCATCATATTTTTTCAGCTAAATCAACTAGTAGGAACAGTTGAATAGACCTATTGAAATAATTTGGTTCTTCAATTGAAATGCGCTTAATGTCTAATCAACAGTTATTTTCCCTCTATCCGTTAGCAAAGACTGGACGTGACAAAGCAGATTGAAGGCGGGGCTCAAGGAAAGCGCATTGGCCCGAACCCCCGGGTATTTTTGTTCAATTGGTTAGTTAGTTATAACGTTAAGTTAGGCTACATTAAATGAAGTTTTATTCTTTTGAGTCTTTTACAGTGGTGGAAAAAGTGATGAGGGTATTTACGCAAATGTATGCAATCCACACTACAAAAATACCCTATTACAATTAAATATCATAGTAGCCTACAACTGTTCAGTAAAAGGATGGATAAGTAACTCGTAAAATGTACTTAAATATATATGCAGAGAAAAAGGCTCCTGAGTGTTATACTTTAAAAAAAAAAACATATAATGGTATCATTGTAGTAATGCATTTGTGAGTGTGTAACACATTTCTATTATAATTTCAAATATTTGATACACTTTATTGTATGTATTCCTATGCATGTGTAAAATAATTACTATAACTTTTACTTGCTCAAGTACAAGGACAATGTATTTGCACTTTCCCGACATTTTCAGACACAGCATCAGCATCTTTTCAATGGCTTGGTGTGTCACAGTGTGTGAGGGTCGCAGCACCCACCTGTCTGCGGGAGGTGGCGGTGGAGCTGGAGTGGCGGGAGTTCTTGCAGCTGGTCCTCTTGGTGTTGCTGTGGTTGTTGTGTCCGTTCTTCTTCTTGTCTTTGGGGTCGGAGGGCAGCGGGTTGATGAAGAGGATCCTGGCGATGAGTCCGTACAACACCGCGGAGAGCATCAGCGGCACCACAAAGAAAACTCCGTAATCAAAAAAGTAGATGGGCAGGTAAAACTTCCTGGACACTCTGTATCCGCACGTGATGATGGTGATGTTGTCGTACACCAGCTCCTGGATGTCTGACAGGTAGAACCACATCACGCAGTACAGGGAAGTGAAAGCCCAGACGCACAGGATAATCTTTTTGGCTCTCGAGAGGGTGCACAGAAACTGCGCTTTAATGGGATGGCAGATGGCGATGTACCTCTCTATGGTGAACGCGGTTATGGAGCAGGAAGAGGCGTTGATCCCGAGGTACTGGAAGTAGGTGATGCAGAGGCACCCGTAGTGTCCGAACACCCAGGATCCGAAGATGCTCTCTGTTATTGTGGGTAAACCAGCCGCGCTCAGCACCATCAGGTCAGCCACCGCCAAACTCACCAGGTAGCAGTTAGTGGGAGTCCTCATGTGTTTGGTAGTGAGCACCACCAGGATGACCATAACGTTGCCAACGAATCCTAAAACGCAAATCACGAAAAGCAGCACACAGCTTATCACTTTGTACTGGAGGCTGTGGTCCGTCCAAACCCCCAAAGTGTGGTTCAGCTCCCGAGCTGTTGTAAAGTTTTCCATCTTGATGATTTGTCTCAAGATCAGAGAAAAAGTTGACTTCTTTAAGCGGTTATGTTGCCTCCTGGCGCATCGAATAGCTTTTTTCGCGCGATGGAAGGAGATCAATCTACTCTGCAGGTCCGGGAAAAGTGTTTATCGATCTAAAAAAACTCAGAATAGCACCTTAACGTGTGCTGCACGTGAAAATACTATTAAGATAATAATATCATAATGTGTCAAAGAGCTGCTGGGTATCAGCTGTACCTCCGTGGTGGTGTGGTGCGTAAAAAGCGATGCGTCGCAGTGTTCTCGTCAGAACAAAGTGTGTCTGTCAGGCAGATGGCACTTTGGTTTTGAGCCCTGATGTTGGCACAAGCGTTCATTACGCATGCGAGGGGATTAGCCCATCATTACATTTTCCTCACCGGACCTCCCCCTCCATCAAAGCTGCTCAAACGCCAACATGAAACAGCATCGTTGTGTCATTATCATCTTATGTGATGAGAAGAACAAACATCAGGTTACACTTTAAATAATTCATAAACAACTTAAAAAAATAGGCAACAATTTGTAGCATCATGTTAAGTAGTCCCATTTGGCATTATTGTGTTGATACTATTTTATAATCTGATTTAACCAATTGAGTACAGCCTGCATAATAGTTTTGACCTTGAATATTTTCTGAGAATATTTAACAAATTGTACGGTGTCCTTGGTGTCATGAAAGGAGCCTTAAATAAAATATATTATTATTTATTATTATTATTATTATTAGCTTAGTAGAGTTTTAACACCTTAATATGAATTCAACATGTGTGTATTAAGTGGTCAAATGTATGGTCTTTATTGATGCTATTTTTACTTATTTATTTAATTGTGTAATCCCATCAATACCGATGCAAATTGGTACTTTCATTTTTCTAACGATTACAAAAATGATTTTGCTTAGAATACACAACACATCTCAGTTCCACTTTTCCACAGTTCATTATTAAACACTTTGAACAACTTTCTTTAAACAACGAAGCATTTTCATGGTACAGTGGGTGCACAAAACAAACGTCGAAAATGCTAAGTGTTGCCTGTATAGATGATTTAATCATGCAGCCGAGCTGGCAGACGGCTCTTTTTGTGTCTTTTTAGTCTATGGTGTGTGTCTTCAGAGCAATTTTAACCTTAACATCTGTATTCAGTTTGTTAGATGTGCGATTTTTCTCAGGGCGGTCTCACCTCAGATAACCAGCTCCAACAGGCTGCCGCCTTGAAAGAGAGCGGCATTATGGGATGCCCTGCAGTCCCTGGAAGATGGAGCTGATCAATAGTAGCATCTCTTTAGTTGAAGTTTTAGGCACTTTGTCATTTATAATCTAACAAAATTAAATCCCATTTTTAGAAGAAGGATTTTGCTGACTGCATTTGCAAGTGTCTTCACATTATCGTAAGTCATTGTGAAAATAATATAAATGTTCTTTGGAGCATTACCAAGTTACAGCTGATCGATGATTGCTTGGCATCAATCTGGAAGAAAATGCTGACTAGTCTTCCGGCAAAGGGTCGGGATAACTTATGAAGAAAATGCAATCTGAAAATTTAACTTTGGAGAGGACATATCCTCATTTTCAGGTTCATATTTGTATTTTATGATGATTAAATTGTTAGTTAGCTTCTTGTCTTTGTTGTGATTGGTCAACCACTTGAAAAACAGTAGATGTACAGACAAATCAGATGATTAAACATGATCTTAAAATATATTTTAAGATGTATTTATTTGCATTTTTTGGGAATTATTATTTGAATTACTTTCTGCTGACACTAGGTGAGGCTGTGCATGCCCCTAATGACCAGTCACCACTGATGATGAGGCATATATCTCCCTTGACATCTTAAAGTGGACCTATCATGCTATATTTGAACAATATATTGTAGGGCCATACCTATATAGTATATAAATATAGTTTTTTTTTCAAAATACCAAACAGATCCTGCATTTTAGCCATGTCTCATTTCGCATCTATTTGCTCTTTCCAGCCCTGTTTTTGCAGGGGCTGATTCTGTAACGTAGCTTTAATGCAAATGAGCTCCAGCTGACCACGCCCTCCGGGAGGAGAGGGGAGGTGCTTTGAGATCAGCTGCTGGGCTGTCAGAAGAGGGGGAGAAAAAGAGATCTCCGTCCTCCGTGTTTTATTCTTATATGATTATATAGAGTCATTATTCATTTGTTTTAAAGCTCAATAAATAACAAAGAAGACCTTTGACCGGCACTTTTCAAATTTTGTCCGGAAGACTTCAACTTTAACGGACATGTTGACCGGCGAAAAAAAATCTAACTGAAACTCTGCCGCACTGTCCCCTCGTTCCTTGGAAGAGGCGGAGAGGTGGGTGTTTGTCATCTGCTGGTGGACTACCGGAGAGAATTATAGTGCTTGCCTCGACGGGGAGGGATTGCATTGAATTACAGCAGGAGGCGCACCACGGGGTGTTTCTCAATGTCGAGTAAAGCTGTTCCAGAGCCACTATTTCAAGCATACTACGTCATCGAGTGCCGCCGAAGGACTGTTCCAATGTCCAGCATACTTGGAATTCTACCGAGCCCGGCGTACTTCGTAGTGAGAAATTTCGAGGCTGCACATGTGTAGACTCCGCGGTCTTAAAATCCCCACAATGCTTTGTGCACGGACCAATTTCCCCAAATCTCCAAATCTGTGGCGGAAAATGTAAGGCGGGGCCTTTCATATGACGCACACCTGCACACTTGCTAGCCTGTTCCATTCTTCGTTTTCCGAATGCCAGGAAAGATTCTTGCCTCGCTTCTGAAGCAAGACGCTCGGAAGACATGTGCTACCAAGCAAGCGTACTCGACATTGATAAACACCCAGAGATCCGCCGGTGGAGAACAGCGTTCAAAAGTGACAATCTAATCTACAGAGCTCGATGTGGTCAATGCTCGTTTGCCATAACTATTTTCGAGGAAATACGAGCAATCTGTCCATCACCTGGCCAAAAAGGCATCATATTCATATGGAGAAATGCACCGTTTTCAACTTCCTTAACTCTGAGTTCTGTTGCTCCAATTATGTGTAAGGTGGGAGAAGTACTCAGATCAAGTAGGCTAATTAAATAAAAGTAGTATACTGCAGGGTAGCTTGTGAATTTACTCGAGGTGTAATTAAAGTCTGATTTAAGAGTTTGATTATATTTTCACATCATTAATCCAGATCTATAAAGTACTAAGGTTTTAAATTTAAATACATGTAGTGGAGTAAGAGTACACCATTTACCTCTGAACTGTAGTGGA